CTAGCCGCAGAAATCAAAACAACATTTTCATTCATTTTTAGAGTTTTTAAAACATTTTTTTACCTATTCTCACAGCAACATCGTTGTCACTTATTTTATATAGAATAGTTAACTTAAGTAACCAAACTTCAGTTTGTAGATTATTCAAAAGCAAGATATTCTAAAATATAAGCGATTATCATTGGAAAATAAATTCACCCCTTTGTTATACATTTTACAAAAATCTATCAGCTATAAATACGAATGTTTGCAGTACCAAACTTTTAAACCGTATGCTATTTTCATTTGGCAAGACCTTTACCTCTTGAAATATTTAATTAATTCACCACAAAGCTATTTTATACAAACCCCTTTTAAAGTTGGCTGTTGTCCCAGTTTTGTTGACAAATGGGAACTTATTCGTTATTCCCAACGTATTTTATAATTAATTATAAATTACAAAATTACTATTCGTATACATGGTTCATTAAGTTTGAAAATTTGTTTTTGTCGTTTGATCAACTTATAGTTCTACTTGCTGCGTATTTAATGTGTAAGATCCAATCCGTATTCGCTACATTTTTAAGAAGTTTTTCATTCAATTTGGCATTTACTATTGCTCCATAAGACATTATGGCAAGACACAGTTCTCTGATTTTTTACCGTTAATATCAGAACGATATTGTAAAACATAGCTGTTTCCGTGACACATTAAACAACAAAAACTACATGGCACATTTAATTAGTGTGTCGTTGCAATCATAACAGATCCAACAGAATTTGTGTTTACTGTTTCCATTCGATATAAATACGATGGAATTGGTTTCATATGAACAGATGACAAGAAAATAATTATAGTCCACCATTTTATTTTTGGAAGTCCTGCTAAACTTATAAAAATTGTCTTTTAGTGAATTACAATAATTGAATATTATTAAATTATCAACCATGTATTTCGTATAGTTGTAATGTTTACACATTACTTGTGACTAATGTAGGTGTAACGGTAGCAAATGCAAAATAAAAAAAATATGAAATTAAAAATGAATTCAATTTTTTAAGAACACATATATGGGCTTTTGCTGTAGGAAAGTATACAAACCATATATACAAATACTTGTTTCATTTACGTTTATTTGATACATCTAGTAAACAGTATGAAACTATGCATAGTAAAAACTGTTTAATATTTTAACAACAACAATTAATTTACAAAGTGTATAAATTCACAATGAAAACTATACAATAAATATTAAAGGACAAAAATAGCTTTTTACAAAAACATGATAGTAATACCAATACAAAATGCTCTGGTATGTATAGTACTGCACTGCTAAACAATACGGTAGATGACTTGTGTGTGTAGGTATATCATTAATTTACCTAGTTTAGTACGAGTAATGGAATTAATTAGCTTAATGTATTTTGATCAATACGTTTAAAAAAAGCGTTTAATGACATCATTTGTCTTGTTATCAAACATAAAACAATACATATAGAATATAAATCATTATATGAGTTTACTCATAAAAAGGTTAATTGACCAAAAGGTTGCTTCTTACAAGCTGTGTTGTATGAGTTACAGATTATTATCTCGCTATACAACACATAAAAGTTCATTAAATATGTTTAATGAAAGTTTCCAATTTAATTTGTAATCTCTAGTAAAGATAGTCTACTATGCTTAAAATAGTAATATAAGTATCTAAGTGCTTAAAAAGTTTAAGATAATTTTAGTTACGATATTATATTTGTAGATCACTTTTTTGGTAAAATATTGGAAATTATTTGACAGGGAAACATAAATAGTATCATGTTTAAGCTAAGCCTGGATAAAAACCTTAATGGCATCAGTATGAAAAGAAATTGAACGTATAATAAATACTATTATTATTTTATATCTTAAATTGTCAGTTTAATGTACTTAGTACATAATAAGTTATTGATTAACTTTTTATATTATCTTCATTGTTCTTAAACGAACCGGTAAAGTAATCTTATTTTAAATATGTTCAAGCTCTCCATACACAACAATGACATGTATACTTTTGTTTAAAACATTTACTAATGAAACGGTGAGCAAAATCCTATTCTTTAAGGCTTTAATAATCTCTCACAGGTATCACAAGAAAGTCATCGAGGCACATAACGGATTGTTTGAGTCTTTGGGTTAGAGCACCTCGGAGACCTGCCATTCGTGAGGTGCGTCCAGAGGTCCCTGTCAGAACCGTGTTGTCGTGATTACCACCGTGGGCTCAGTAGAACAGGTAACAGGTAGTAGTGACTACAACAGAAAATACATCAGTCAGTGAGGGGAGTATCTCAGTAGAACAGGTAACAGGTAGTAGTGACTACAACAGAAAATACATCAGTCAGTGAGGGGAGTATCTCAGTAGAACAGGTAACAGGTAGTAGTGACTACAACAGAAAATATATGGGTCAGTCAGTGAGGGGAGTATCTCAGTAGAACAGGTAACAGGTAGTAGTGACTGCAACAGAAAATACATGGGTCAGTCAGTGAGGGGAGTATCTCAGTAGAAGAGGTAACAGGTAGTAGTGACTACAACAGATAATACATGGGTCAGTCAGTGAGGGGAGTATCTCAGTAGAACAGGTAACAGGTAGTAGTGACTACAACAGAAAATACATCAGTCAGTGAGGGGAGTATCTCAGTAGAACAGGTAACAGGTAGTAGTGACTACAACAGAAAATATATGGGTCAGTCAGTGAGGGGAGTATCTCAGTAGAACAGGTAACAGGTAGTAGTGACTGCAACAGAAAATACATGGGTCAGTCAGTGAGGGGAGTATCTCAGTAGAAGAGGTAACAGGTAGTAGTGACTACAACAGATAATACATGGGTCAGTCAGTGAGGGGAGTATCTCAGTAGAACAGGTAACAGGTAGTAGTGACTACAACAGAAAATACATCAGTCAGTGAGGGGAGTATCTCAGTAGAACAGGTAACAGGTAGTAGTGACTACAACAGAAAATATATGGGTCAGTCAGTGAGGGGAGTATCTCAGTAGAACAGGTAACAGGTAGTAGTGACTGCAACAGAAAATACATGGGTCAGTCAGTGAGGGGAGTATCTCAGTAGAACAGGTAACAGGTAGTAGTGACTACAACAGAAAATATATGGGTCAGTCAGTGAGGGGAGTATCTCAGTAGAACAGGTAACAGGTAGTAGTGACTGCAACAGAAAATACATGGGTCAGTCATTGAGGGGAGTATCTCAGTAGAACAGGTAACAGGTAGTAGTGACTGCAACAGAAAATACATGGGTCAGTCAGTGAGGGGAGTATCTCAGTAGAACAGGTAACAGGTAGTAGTGACTGCAACAGAAAATACATGGGTCAGACAGTGAGGGGAGTATCTCAGTAGAACAGGTAATAGGTAGTAGTGACTGCAACAGAAAATACATGGATCAGTCAGTGAGAGGAGTATCTCAGTAGAACAGGTAACAGGTAGTAGTGACTGCAACAAAAAATACATGGGTCAGTCATTAAGGGGAGTATCTCAATAGAACAGGTAACAGGTAGTAGTGACTGCAACAGAAAATACATGGGTCAGTCATTGAGGGGAGTATCTCAGTAGAACAGGTAATAGGTAGTAGTGACTGCAACAGAAAATACATGGGTCAGTCAGTGAGAGGAGTATCTCAGTAGAACAGGTAACAGGTAGTAGTGACTGCAACAAAAAATACATGGGTCAGTCAGTGAGGGGAGTATCTCAGTAGAACAGGTAACAGGTAGTAGTGACTGCAACAGAAAATACATGGGTCAGTCATTGAGGGGAGTATCTCAGTAGAACAGGTAATAGGTAGTAGTGACTGCAACAGAAAATACATGGGTCAGTCAGTGAGAGGAGTATCTCAGTAGAACAGGTAACAGGTAGTAGTGACTGCAACAAAAAATACATGGGTCAGTCATTAAGGGGAGTATCTCAATAGAACAGGTAACAGGTAGTAGTGACTGCAACAGAAAATACATGGATCAGTCAGTGAGGGGAGCATCTCAGTAGAACAGGTAACAGGTAGTAGTGACTACAACAGAAAATACATGGGTCAGTCAGTGAGGGGAGTATCTCAGTAGAACAGGTGACAATCAGAATACAAACATAACACATCTGTGAGTAGGTTCATGTACCCGGAATATTTACTACGATCAATTATCCTTTCCGTGCGTATAGGAAAGCGTATCACAAATAATGTTAGCTACAAAAATTATGAAAAGTGTTGTAATAAAAAAGTTATATTGTCATTAATGGAATAGCTATTATTAAAAACATTAATGAATTTAACTGAACAGGAATGTCGGTATATAGTAGTTTTAATTAGGATGGCTGCTCGTGTTTTGTAATAATATTTATATTAGCTTTGTTTTTCCAAATATTAGAACGGTGATTTGAGGTTAATTTTACGAATTTAGGAAAATCCCATACAATTCTGATATCTTTTACGTTTTTATAATCAATTCCTAATAACAAAATTTTGTTGACATAATACGTTTACTTACAGACTTAAAATCTCTGAACGTGGTGTCTAAAGTCGACTGCATTATGGTACAATCTGTCAGGTTTGTGAACTCAGTCAATAGTTTGGTATGTCCCATGGAACCTTCGCTGGGCCCACTCTCCTCCTGTAATTTAATGCAGCTTATTACTTCCTAATATGTTACACTTCGTCCTGACTTCTGCTTTTTAACTAATACTAGTGTAGCAAAAAGTGATTTCGCATTTACATTTATAAAACAATTGGCTCTGTAAATCTTTTTGAGAAATATAGTCAAAAAACGTAAGCTTATAGATGGAAATTTTGATATCTTAAATATGACCCAAATATATGGAGAATCTTATTTGTTTAATATTTTCTGGTAAATGAGTTTGTAATTGAGGTAATATTTAAGTTTTCAGAAGTAAAATTGTCAGACACGTTATTCTTCTTCTTATCTATCAATTTCGTAACTACAATTACACACTGTCCTTGAAGATGTAATATTCTTTTCTACCTCATAAATGTTTTTCATGATCTTAAAAATATCATTGTAGGAACATTAAAGATGTTTCTACTATGCATATCACAGTTATGTTTGTTACTTGCCTGGAATTGAGGGATAGGTGGCTTTACTGGTAGTGTGTACAGGCTAGCGTTTTTATCTAGGGCAGATTTCTCCATGATTTGATATTCTGAAAATGTAAACATAATGTGTAAAAGTTAATTTATAAAATAATACAAACTAACTAAAAGTACGGTACGCTTCAGTATTCATCTACCTGCATAGTAATCAAAGAACGCCCTAGGGTGATTCAATATTTCCGAAGTGCACTTTATATAAAAAACCGACAAAAGCTTGGGTTTTTGGAAGATTAACCTTTGTCGTGTATCTAAAATACACGTTCGTATAAGGTTCATGTAAACCTTTATAAATATTATGGCTTATAACAAATCTTTTGAATGTTTGAATTTTTTTTGTTTAATAAGTAGTTGTATGCAATTTTGTCGTTGTTGCTTTTGCTTAACTATTCACATATCAATGGAGTGTTTATGAGTTCACAAGTCCTGAAGTTCAAAGAGGTAGATCTGGAACACCACAAGAAAGCTTGGAATTTGCAACTATGCGTTATTTTAAAATCAAATCTGACATCCCTTTCATCATTATTAATAAAAGGATATTTACGTAATTATCAATCCTAAGTTTATTGAAAGTGGTTATTTTATGATACCAAAGCACACTACACGGCATATTACAGAAATCACGTATGTCTTGTCAAACCTGTGTTGAGAGGTATGATGTCGGGGTTTTTCTCTAAGCTGTCTTGGCTGTCACTGTGTTTGCTGGACTCGATGCTTTGTTTCTCCGCTTGCTGACGACTCCGCTGACGTTGCCTCAGCGCTAGCAGTACTGCCAACGTAACTGTCACCAACGTCACCACGAGCCCCAGCAGTGCGCCTGCCAACGGCGTCAGCGTCTCCAGAACCGGGTTGATCCCTTGGACAGATTTATAACTACTTACACACAGTGAACACAAACCATTCATAATAAATACTCTCAATCAATTAATTTAGACACCACTCAGCCTCTAAATGTTCATAGGGCTTTCCATCACATACAACGATTGAACACAATATTATAATTACAGAACATTAAGTGGCTGTCACGGTATGTGTATGAAACTACGATGTAAACATGCAAGTGGTATTAATTTATTAATATGGTATCAATGTAGTATTAATTTATTCTGTAACTGTTCTACAGTTTTCATTATCATGTTGTTACACGATCTGTTATTCTATTAAGTAAATTTAAATTACTCAGGAGCTAGAATGGAATGAATTATTCATTTCTATTCTAGCTCCTGAGTTGTTATATTCAATGTGATAAATATGTTTACATATCTTATAATCCAATAAACTGCTCAAATATGACACAACTCTTTACATGTTTCAGTTTGTATTCGCCATTGTTTAAACATTGCAGTTGGATGAAGAAATCCTTTCATTCTTTACTAATAAACTTACATACACACATACTCGGACGGGACGATGACGTGTACGAAAACGAATAAAAAGATACAAATAGTCCTACCACGGTGCACGCGACCTGCCCGTGCATTTTTGTAATAGGCCTATTTGTGGTTTTTATTCGTTTCGCAAATGTCTTCGTCCTGACTGTGTATTTGTGCGTATACGTTTATTATTAAACAGTGACAAGGATTTCTACATCCAACTGAAATGTTTTCACAATGGTGGATACAAGCCGAAACATGTAAACAACTGTGTAAATTTCATTATTTTGCACATAGATATCAGTTTTACATTAACTATTTAAATTCAGCATCCAAAATAAGCTTTTCTACAAATCTGCTCACTTGGACCCGTGTCGCTCATATGTCTCTCGGCAGTTTTGACAGCGTACGCGTGGAGATGGGCAGTCGCACTTCGACCTTTGCTGTTATACGCGTACATCACAATGTCAAAACTGATGCCTTCTTCCAGACCTCCTACGTTGAACCATGGCTCCTTTGACGTTAGATTTCTCACAAGCTCGCGCTTCTCCGCTGCATAGACCTCTATGATGAACTGTTGCTCCAAGCCACCATCGAACCCATCTTCACATTCGATTTGCAGTGAATCCGACGTCTGATTCGTTATTGAACAGTTTTGCAAGCTGTCTGGATTACCTGTGACGAATAAATAGTTAATTGGTAATATATGACTGATGCACGTCTAAATATTTGGGTTTGTACCACGAAAACTATAAAAATACCGGTATGGATCATAAACATAAACAAATGACGTTTTTGGCCCTAAAATGTACATTATTTATCATTGCTTAAATGGAACTGCCAAAACATATGTTCAATGCTGTTAGTATGGGATTCGGGCTAACAACGTCGTTTGTTTACGTTTATGATCCATACCGGTATTTTTCTAGTATTCGTGGTTTGTACATAGAATGATAATTACAGGTTTAGAAAGGTTACAGAATTTTAATTCAATTTGTGATTGGAAAGCCGGGTCATGACTCAAAAGATGACTTTAGCTCGGTGTCCAGTTCAGGATGATGGATGGTTATTGCCAGTGGCGTCAGTCCAGGATTCTCTTGAACCTATAGATTTTGTCCTATCTGTCCAATAACCTTTAGGTGAGTTTGTAATATTGGTTTGGAAAACACTTCATCGATCATTAATATATCAATGATTTACCGGTAAACCCTTAGTCCTTTTATTGCTCGATGTTTTAATATTATACTTATCTTAGCGTTTGATTTAAACTACAACATTTATTTTGGTTGGACGTAACATACGATTAGGTTTCAAATGTAAATTATTGGAACAAAAAACTTATCTTAATTTTTAATCCTTAAGAACATCATTTTCTTATGGAACCATTGAGAATTGAAAGTATAAATTGTTTACGTTCCAAACATTACTAGTACAACATACTTATCTTTATTAAAATCGATCTAAGATTAATTTTGCATAAGTTATTGATAATGAAATTTGAAATCCCTCCAAGCCAGTGTTACATATTTGGCCTGTCTTTCGATACCATGGAATACATTTTTTGTACAAGTTAAGTATACCGGGCAGCTCACCTGAAGGGGTCAGCACGAAAGCACAAGGTGTTCTCATGGAGCCCACGTCGTTGGTTGCCAGACACAGAAGTGTGCCGTACTCGTCCACAGCTCTAGGAGTGAACGTCAACACACTGCGGGTACCATCTGACGTCACCAGGTTTGGCTGAAGCGCTGTGAGGCGCTTAGAACCTTGCAGCTTCCAACTGAACATGACGTCAGCTGGGTTAGCGTCTACGTCACATTGCACTTTGGTAGTCTCGTTGCGCCCCACCCCTAGTGACGCCGACCTGGGGCTGTTACATAACGGTGCGTCTGAAAATACATAGAAACGTTGGTAAAACATTCTTTTAGTAGATAATTATAGAAAAAATACATTCATATAGATGAATGAATATTAATAGTCATATACTGTATTAGTTATTTTCAATCGTTGAAAAATACAAGGAATTATCACTTTAGTTCCTGCCTAAAGGAGGTTTGAGTCATATTTTTTTTACGAATATAATATCACGTTTGTTTAAAAATTAAAAGTAAGATTTGAAAGTGGGGTTGTTCAAAGTTAGATAGCCTAGTAAACAGACTCCAACATCAAACTTAGCTGTTATGTGATGTTGCAACCGATCGTAGTTTCTCACAAAAGTTTGCAGTCATGAGGTTTATAGTCGCAACTTAATGCTAAACAACAAAAGCCCGTACACAGAATTTTTGTTTCAAATTATTCAAATTAAATAGATACAATGTTAACAATATCATAAGTAGTAAAAATACCATATAATTATGTACAAAGATTAATAAAAGACGAGCGTTAATTTGGATACAATTGTCTTTGTTATAAAGTTCAAATTAATGATCCTTTGAATTAAATAGACAAGCTAGTGGTTGTTACTATCAATACTAATGTATAGACATTTTATCAACATTAAATTCCAAATACAAACATTTTGTAATGGAAAAAATGAACAAAAATTATAGAATACCCCTATGTATTAGTTTGTTTCGTATTATTTTGTTATAAAGCAAACTTTAAAACATAAGAATTCGATGTTAATTTTATAGAAGACAGTAACGTACATGTAGGTGCGTATGTTAAGTTAAAGGTGTGACTGAATAAGATCACTTTTTTCAGTCTAGATTAGTTATAAAAAAAATAATAATAATATTTACACCAAGCTGGTCAATCATGGGACAATTAATAATGTAGTGAATGTTTTCATGCCCGAATCATCATAACTGGCAGGCACTTTAACTACACAATCGCCCAGTCTGTTTCCTACAACACTGCACCACACATACAGCAAAAGTCGTAATATGTTAAAGGTTAGCCGCACTGTATGTAACTGCTCACTATATTTACACCCAATAGACAAGCTGCTTTTACGCGTAAGATCATTATTTAATAATTGGACTTTTCACATGTAAACGTACATTTAACGTCAAGTAGGATGGGGTTGCTCTCGCCGTCTCCCTCAGTGTTGCTGGCGACACAGGTATAGATTCCAGCTCTCTCCCTGGTCACCGCTTGCAGGAATAGGCTCTGGTTGTTGATTAGAAACATCCCAGACCCCACGTTGTTGTGCAGAGTTTCTCCCTAAACATCAACACAAACCCAAGGTACAAACACCATCGACAACATTTGTTGCGGCAAATTTGTATTGGAAATATAAATAAATAGAATGTGTAATACTGTATTTAAAATACGCTGACCATAAAATATAAAATCTGCCTAAATCAGCCCAACGTATAAGTATTAACTCAATGGTGTTATAAAATTACATTTCAAAATACTGTAATAAGTTCATGAACTATACCAAATTTAAAACAACATAAATTAACCACAAAATTCTCTCCTATAAATATGTAGGGTGAGTGCACCAGTGAATGACCGGTTAAGGTTGACTTTCTACTTGTAAACGACATGGGAAAATATACTACTAAGCTACATTGTACGAAATCGTTAAAATGTATTGCCCATATTTCCCTGTACTTCCCGATGATACAACTTAATGCATTATGTTAAAAGAAATTATCGAAAAATACAATTTTTTGCCCTAAGTCATCACACCAGTGAATGACCGCATATTATATAACAATTTTAAAATTATATTAAACCTCCTCCTTTTCACCGAATGGCCCCCGTTCAATATTTTCGCATCAAAGCTGTAAACACTGTAGTGAAAAATAACGATATCAGGGTCGTTAAAATATTGGTTCTAGTGAAGGATCACTTTTTATCTAGGAAATGACCGTAAGATTTAACTCACATTCAAACTTTGGTTATAGTGTATCCACATAATTTCTGATGAGATTTTGTGTTTCCTAGCAATGGCTTACTCCATCAGAAAACATTGTCATCAATATTAATAAAGAAAATTGACTCAAATCCAGTTAATGAACGAAACGGTCATTCACTGGTTATACTCTAATTTGTGAACCAGTAATTGACCGGCTGTTAAAATACACGATTGGTTAGGATTTTGATCTTTAAATGAGTACAGAATTATACCTTAACATGTTAACTGTGAATTACATGTAATATATTACAGTTCCAATCAATAATTAAGGAACCATGACAAATTACAACCAACCATGTTTGTGTGAGACGCCATAGTGGGAAGCTTAATAATGAACTGCTTTGAAACATCTAATTTTGTTTTTGTTACAAAAGGATGATTGACACTTTCTTTTTTAATAAGTCAAAGAGTGTATATTAATAAGACCTCAAAGTAACTTTTAAAACTGTTTGTGATAGACTAGGAAAAACAGAAAGCCTGATATGATGTTTTTTATACAAATCGGTCATTCACTGGAGGGTGGTCATTCACTGGTGCACTCACCCTACTAGGATAAATTGAAATTATCTGTCAATGATAAAAGTTTATCATTTACACATTAAATTTTAATTTATACAAACTATGAAAATTTATTTTAATTTTCCTATGATGAGTTAACTGTACGATTTTAAGGTTACCGAAGGATATACTCATCAAATTGTGTACCTTGTGTCTCCATGTAACTTTGTAGACCCACGGATTGGACTTAATGTTGCACTCAAAGATCACATCCATGCCTTCGACCACGGAACTGACATTCTGGTTATTGCCTAGCTCAAGAGTTACCACGGGAACATCTGCAAATGCATCAAGTATAATATTGCAATGAATACACATATTTTATTTTATTATTATTTTACTGTCCAGGTTTCATAACGTCACTTATTTGACTACATTAGACAACTTTAAAAACTAGCGTTTAAATAACGAATGACTTTTTCTCATTAAAAATTCCCTCTGGTACCCTATGCATAAATACTAACGGAAGATGGGTTGAATCATATAGCGTATCTATTTATCTCCTTCTTCGTCGAAAGTATTTTAATTATATGAAGTCCAAAAAAACTGCATATACATCACCCTCATCAACCCCTAATAATGTTTAAAGTATATTAGCCATGTAAGGGGTTTTATTACTCATGACGTTGCCGTTCCTTAACTACTCCAACAGTCGGCGTGTCAAGTGGTGGGTCTCTCAAGGGTTCGGTTGTATCAGCCCATCTACCGCTCAAGTGGCTATAAAAATCTTTTACTCAAGCCTTATATGAAATAGCATCACTACTAGTACTCTCTAGGCTACTACAGCAGTGGGAGTGTCACGTGATGGGTCCCCAGGGGATGCTGTTTTATTACTTTTAACCCCTAAAGTGTCTGTATGAAGCTTTTATCCAAGCCAGATGCCTTATTGCAATAGCATTACTATTTTTCAGCTAATCCAGCAGCAAGTGTGTTCAGTGATGGGTTCTAGGAGTTTCCGTCTTATCATTCTATTAACTACTAGACTACAGTAGTTATTAAACATATTGTTAACAATCAGACAATATCAGGTATGCCTACTGATGTGTCTCTAGGCCCCCATTACTCTAAAAGTACTAGAGTATTACTATATCAATCCTTCGCGTGTTTACAAGATATTTTAAAAGCTTATTTACATGAAATACAGATTCACACAGTTTATCACTCGTTCATGTTTTAAATAAACCACATGTTTTACATTAAACCACGAGTTTTACATTCAATTGTTTTATTGTCCTGTAACCAACTTAGCAATGGTCAAGTCAAGTCAAGTGGGAGGTCTCAAGTCCCCAGAGGCCATTGACTTATCACCCCATCTGCCTCAAAAGCGCCTCTGAATGCTATCAGTCCCAAGAGACACTTGCTTTACTGCACCACTACGTCCCTAGAGTTGGCACTAAAATGTTATCGCAGTCATACGTTACACAAACATCAGCCAGTTACTCGAAATTTATCTTCCTTGAATTTAATATGTTTACATTTTAAGTATGGATTTGAAATTGGGACTATTATGGTTATATACAATTAATATATTTGACTTGGTGGTAGCTATATTTAAACTAAAGCGAGTATGATAAACAGTTTTTATGTGATAAACTTATAAAAATTATTATATACTTTTGGTTTTCTCATTTATTAAAAGACTAAAGATTCTATCTACATTTGATGGAAGCGTAATCGTGTACTTTGCCTTTTCTATTTTAAAACATTGAAAAAATTGCACATACTTAATTTAGCTTAAAATTGCAATATTACTTTTGGTATTTAATCTTGCGTGACCTTTAAGTAAACTATGCAATTTTCGATGAGGTGTTTTTGGGCACTATCTGATTGTTAACAATATGTTTAATATAAAAGTTTATTGTTTTAATGTATGTATTCTGATTAATTAAATATCATTTGGCACAAAGAAGTAATATATAGCTATTATTTGCAGGCTTAGCCTGTTTTCGTGGAAGATTTTGTTACAAAACCTTTTAACATTTGATGTGAAAACATCATTGTCAACGCACATTATAGTACACAAAATCATAAATAATTTTGATATATTTGATTTATTATAAGTTGTCTTGTGATTTCTACATAAATATGTTTATTCCTTTACCCCTAGTAACTAGGACTGGTATTGAGCAATATCAATTATTACTGCTCCATACACTTAGATAACTGATTTAGCCCAGAGGGAATCTGTTGTGCCTGTTGTTTTACCCTGATGAAAGCATATTACTAATTAATTAGATGTTCAGGTTTGCTTTGACTCACGATGAATGTTGAGTTTCCAACCATCCTCGACAATGTGAGGGGTTGTTCCGACCCTGCAAGTAAGGAACTTCCCGGAATCTTCCATCCCTGGGACAAAGGACAATGAGCTAATAGTCACGTTCTCGTCCTTTGTCGTCTGCAACAATACAAATCTCTCTGCTTCAAACTACGCAGCAATGAGGTCGGAGGTATTGCTTTGGCATACATAAGTAAAATCAAACGATTACGTCACAAAAAAAAACTATACTCATTTTGTACTTTCTAAACTAAGTCGTGTCTCATTTGTTTGAATTGATAGAACGATTGTTAATACATAATATTTAAATTAATAATGGTTAAAAAGGAAATCTGATAGTAGCCTTGCATCAACATACATTTACAGACACTAAGATACAATTATTTTGCGAGAACCAATAAATTTAATTGTAAGGTGAAATACAATGATAAATATACACTCTTCTTTGAAACTATGCTACATTAATTGATACTAGAGGTCGTCCAGTGGTCGAAACTCGACCAAAAATATGTGATGGACAGACTTCTCTATTTTCACCCCAAGTTGTAAATAAAACATGTGATGATTGGAACTTCTTTTATTTGTTTCGATTTTCTGTTTATATTTCAATGTTATTTTGTCACCAGCATAGCAACCCGTAAAGCCCATGTTAATTTTTTTAAATTTCAAATTCATTTTTTATGCTTATTTTAGGGCCTATTTTAATTTATCTGCACATCTACACGAAAATATCTTTCTAACAGTGTGCGTAGATTTTCTCTGCTATGCACCCGAGCCGAGAAAAAGTGTTTTAAAGAAACATGCTTGCCTATTAATATATAGATAGAAGATAGATTGATTGTATCTTTTTTATTACAATTATAATTACAACCTTCCTGACCCTCTCCCTCGAGTGGATTCGTCCCACTCGATATTATTTGTTGAGTTCATTGCTGCAATAATAATGGAAAGTATATTTTCGCGAATTTCACCATTATCTAGGATAAAAAAAACCCAACAAGCACAATAAATAAAATCATACAATATGGGTTTTCAGTGTAAAGTGTGATCCGGTTGCTGCTGTACTATTTACACTATGTTTAAGCAAAAATCACAACAATCAGATTAAATGAGTTCGCGAACCAGCATGATCGAACCACGGAAACGGGGTTTTATAAAAGGGTTTTCTCATTTCTATCTTTTTAAAGAGCATGAAAAACAGATGATTTAATATGTCAAAGTGTTTTTGTACGGTTATTGGTAACGTAGAAAATTCAAAAGATTGTAAATTTAAAATTCCCATGTTATTCTTATGGAGAATATTGTAAAATGTTTTAGTTTGCTTATTAATGGATATATTTTGATAGAACTTGGCAAATGTATTTATTTTATACTAAGCTATTAATATTTTACAAAAAATAACTTTCTTAGTTTCCTTGTAGCAGCAAACCTAGGTGCTTGTTAAACATAATGTAAATTAAATAGATTCATTGAAAATCAATTCAGACAAATGGAAATTCGCTTAGTCGGCAGGTTTGCTGTGGCGGGGATATTTTAGTTACTGTTTATCACTACTCATGACTTATAAAAGATATTATTTTTAAGTTTATAACCTCTCATTGTCACTGACAATACTGTTGAGTAAGTATACAATGCTCCTAGGTGAATCTTTTAAATTTTAAGAACTAAACTGAAGTGGCTAAGTTGTTAAAAAAAAGTCGTATGTGAAATATATAATGTGTACCTATAAAATATTTTTGCTCAAGTGACTTCCTTATAGCCTAATTTACGTTTGTTTTTTAGGTCAATTCCAATAAATTAATGCTTGGTCAATATTTGGCCATTATGATTAAATTCTACTAAACTGTTTTACTTTCTCCGCAAAACTGACTTACCGACTGTCTGGAAGTCTTGAGCTGGTTGCTGCCCTTCCACCAGGTGATACGTGGTGGAGGTCTTGCTCCAACAGCCTCACAAGACACATCTACCCTCTGTTCCGCCGAGAACGATCGGTTCTCTCCAAGTATCTTTACCCACAATGGCTTTACTAGAACATGTTACAGAAACATTAAAATCATAATCCTTTGTGCAACACTATACGGGCCCCCCCCTCGGCTTAAAAGTAACGTTCATCCCCCCATTACTTTTTAACTGCTTGAGATAAATCGCTTTGCGGAAATCTTCTTAGATATGAGGGGCTACAATAATGATTGTGAATTTAAATTTTTTTACGAGTAGGGGTAAGGGGATATGTCTCCTTAGGGGTAGTAGTTTTTCAAATACACGGGACGCAATTTGTAGTTTTGTGACCCGACGTACCCTAGCCAACCCCCAAGTCCCTCATATTCTTTCTTCTGGGTTCTATGGCCAGCATACTTCTTTTGCTGGCTCTTCTTTCTTCTTAGTTTTTATTTTAGAGAACTCTTCTTCTCTTGTCCCTTCCTTCGCACCTTTTTCAGCCGAACCTCAGTGGTGTCAAGCGATCCATGCCGAAGAGGCAATTGCCACCGGGCTCCCCAGCGGTGGTTTGTACGGAGCAACTCCAGAAGCTGCACCAGTAGTATTTCAGGGGTTAGCTAATCAAGATTAAGACACATATCTCAATGAAGCCCCAAAGAACAGAGAAACATCAGGACCAAATGTGGGTCCGAATGTCGAGACGGGTGTGGCGAAGGGTCCTAGAGGTGCACCGGTCACTTCGCTCTTGGCAGAAAAACATTAAAAGAAGGCTAAAGGTTCAGCCTGTAGGTCTGAGGAGGGTAAAGACGAGGAATATCTAAACAAACACCTTAAAACTCTGCGAACCTACCTTATATCTCACCTACCTTATATAGTGGCTTTTAAACTTGCACTTTAGAAGTCAACCTCTCATGCACATATATACTACTGTGTAATAATAAAGTTTAGTGTACACAATTATAAACCTGATCAAACTAAACATTTGTATATTGTTTTCCATGTTATGGTCTCAATTTGGTAGATTTTATCATTTTCGTGATTTAAAACTTAACTTTTAAGCATGAAACAGCATTATGATCACGTAATACATTGTGCTTACAGTTCATCCTGACACTGAGGTTGGCAGACAGCGGATGGACCTGATTGTTGTTGGACGCTTGACACGTGTAAGTGTCGTGTATACTTTGCCGCTTGAGGTTCTCTAGATGCAGCGTGTTGCGGACTCTTCGCTCAGACAACACCTCGTACGAGTTGTCAATAAGCTCGCTGTTCCTCCACCACGAGACTCGTGGCTGCGGCCTCCCTGTTTAAATACATTTTAAATTAGCACAAATAATTTGTATTTTTTTATCTGGGCACATTTTATTCCAAATGTTATAGTATTAGGTAAATATATATTAGGTATGTTTTTATACTACTAAATATTAAACTATTTCAAAGGTTTTAATTTCTTTCAGAATCTTTATCAAGAATCCTTTATTACTTTTTCAAAGATCCAATTAATCTGTATGCTTTTGAGGAGACCTCGTCATTGTCTAGATCACTATCGTAATTAATTATAAAACTTATTATAGACTATTTTAAGCTAAATCTTTTGGTCATAACCAACTTTGCACTGTTTCTGGTCTTAATATAGGCCTACTGAGTAATTTAGTTTTTTTTTCTCATCAAAAGTTTATTTTGTGTTAGTTTAGATCCTCAACAATTATTCTTGGGTATTATACAAAAGCCATACATGCGTATTTTTCGTATTATCATTTCAATGTATAACGCACTTAATCATTATTTAGATAAAAGGGCTGCTTATTATTTATGAACCATAGTACCATAGTAGTAGGCATTTAAACAAGCTACAAACAAATGACTGGTCATAACCCGTTAAACCGCAAAGTGCGAACTCTATGTAAACAGCGGTAAATGAAAGGCAATTAATAAAACGGGCAATATACGCTCCTTACGGCTTTACTCTAATTGGGAGGAGCTGATTAATTGGACAGTGAGTCCCTGGTGTTTACACATAACATACTGACCACCTTTATTGCTTGGCAGACGGCCACACGTATAACTGCTGGTTTACTAACCGCGCTTCAATTTATTATGATTCGTTGGCTACGATTTATTTGGTTGAAACTGTAGTATTCTAGTTTACTTTTAATAAAAATTAATTATCACAAAAATACTTGGTTATAACGATAACATGAATTTAAAATCGAGAAAAACATTATTTCATGCCATACAAATTCTAGACACTTGACAACCATCGTGGTATGGGTTATCAATGACTTGTTTACTAAAACAAACAAGTACTATTATTTCTATTGTGTCAACAACAACTAGAAATCGTTATACTTGCCTCCCGTAGCCACACAGGTAATATTGACAGAGGCCCCCTCGTTGAAAGGCCCCAGGAATCTCTCTTCTACCGGCTCACCTTTGTCGTTTACCACAGTTATCTTCTCTGGCGGCACTGCAAAACACACCATTACCATTACCATACCAGATGTCTGGATTGATCTTGTTAGATAAAATTTACTTTTAAAAATTAAATAAACTAATATTTATAATATTTACACTCCATGGTGGCCGCATTCAAACTCAAAAGTCCATTGCAGTAGTAAAGTATTCCTCGATGGAATAGAAACACTTCCTACTCAGCCAATGTTTTAGCTTAACTTTAAAAGGATCAAGAAGGAGTTCTTTAATGTCGAGGGGCATTCTATTGTAGAGCTTGTGTGTCAATACTAGAAAGCAGTCTTTGGTCTTTGAGAGCCTACACCTCGGGACATCAAAATTCCTTGCAGAGCGCAGGTTGTAATTGTAGAATTGGTCACGTGCATGAGATATAGGCATATACTCATACAAGAAGGATTTTTTGGACATTTCCCATCACTAACAATAATAAACATCATCATAACATCATTTTACGGCAATTTGGATCCGAAACCTGATCTCGTCCTCAACTGTGAAAGAATATAAAACATAAAGAAATTAGTGAACATATACAGCCAAAGCTGACAAATCTGAAATAAAACATCCAAGGAACTAGATACTGTAGTAGACCAGTAAATGATAGCACCTAAAGCATTCAAAACTAGGAACGCAAACCCTGAAAGGTTATATAAATGGTTCAAATGGAGGGTAGATAAACACAAAAGATATCTCTGCACAATATGGTTGTTCACGTAAGATGGTTTACTGGCTATATGTTTTAATTACTTTTGATTCGGAAAATACTTTTTCAAGAGTATTTTCTTTTCCTGGGAATGGCTGATTCCATGCACCTTACTCTATGAACCTTCTCCCTCAACCTACTCTATAGATTTATAAAAGGTCAAGTCGTACTTACTGATGACTGTAAAATTGACTTTGGCATTCCTAGTAGGTGACTTTTGGAAGTCAACCCTGCAGCGGTAGACCCCGGCATCCGTCTCCTTGACCGGAGTGAGACGTAGCTCAGCCGGTGTGGAGTCTGGGAGGAACTTGGCTCGTGTACCGAGGACAGCCACATCTGACCAATGGCGGGGCTTGTCATCCCTCACGTCGTAGCTACAAACACCAATCATTACACATCACATGTATCGTACTCAGTACTCATGTCCAGTGTAGCACTCCACTAGCACATTGAGAGGCAATAGTGGGTCTTGTTGGCTTTTACAATAATACTTGGAGCAGAGTTATGTTGCTCATTTTACACTCCTACCATTTAAGAAAAATTGAAAATTAATTTCGGACTGAACCTGTTTTTAATAGATGCATTTTATTTAAATTTACTGTTTTTAACAGGCGAGCAAGTGTTTAAGTGAAGGTAGTATAAGTGAAGGTAAATTTAAATTTATATATAAGCAATGGTAATAGTTGTGTAAACCTTTTACTGATATAAGTCCTTACCTGTATATGGGTTTCTTGGTGTCATTCTTGTACCAGATGACGAGGAGGGCGCTGTCATCTCTGGAGGGAGGCCTGAGGTCACATGGGATGCCTGCTCTGTAGCCAGACACTGCCTGAGCGTCCGAGGTGGGAACTGCAACATACCAATACAACTCTCTCAGTACTACAACAGGTGAAGTGTAAAACTGCAATTTTTATAATTGCAAACACCCACTGATTAAAAAACATTTCTTTATATACAATTATGTTTCTTTAAATAAAATGTTAAATAATACACCGACACTAGATTAACACACACAAAAAACACATAATATATACATTTGGATTCTTACGATTTGATCAGTTGCGTGGAATATAAATTGTGAAAAAATTTTCTAACCAACTAAAAAAGTATAATAATAGTTTATTTATCCATCTTGAGTATTTAAGAGTTTACCCACATGATAAAAATCGCATTTTCAAATTACTCTTTCGATTTTAGCCGAAGGCTTTCTATGAGTATAACTAGGACTATAACTATCATTAAATCAACTAGTTACCCAGGGAAGGGATTTTATTTTTTGTATAATTTGATTCTTCGGTATTATATCGACGCTAAAACTAACGTTGATTTATATTACTTCCATTTCTATAATCGGTATTTGAAAGTATTAACTATGTTAATTTAAAAATATTAACTATATTCAATTTAATTATGCTATCATCTGCTATATACTGAATAAGGTATATTTAGCTAGAATAGGTTATACAAATAAAATGGCCAGGCTATACTTTTTTAATGTAGTAACCTTAAAACACAAACAAAGCAGTTCAAAAGGGAATGGGAAATTGTTTTAAGAAAATTATAATTTTAAATATTACTGCTTTAAGGTAATTTTAAATTGCAAAAGCTCCACAAATTACGGTAAAATATCTTTAAATATCAAGTCGAGAACACCTGCTGTTTTTGTTTGATTTAAGTTCGCTTTTTAGTTTCACTTAAAATAAATATAAACATACAAATAAAATTCCAGTCACCCTTTTTTCAAGAAGAATGTTATCCCTCAATGTAGATTTATCTCAAAGACTGTATTGCGTTGCTTACAGATAGCTTTGCAAGTATGTGAATCTGAGCTCTTTGTGTGTTCACTGTCCAGTCCAGTCTGAAAAACTTCAACATTTCATAAACTGAATATTTCCTTATACATTCCAGAGTCTGGAGATTACACTTGGCTTGATTCTTATTTATGTATTGTACAGTTAATTAAGAGCATATTTTACTATGGTAATTAATTCAATTTCCATTTTCAAACTGTTCAAATGTAACATTTGTGGCATTACCTTTGTTCGCAATACATACAAACGTGTCTGCTTGATATAAAACCCTACATTGACAAGGTGGTTTCGATTTTAGTACTCATTTAGATCGATCTTTTTCTAGGATTGTAAACTATTTATGGTTTATTTGTCTTCAACACTAAACAACAAAACTATCCCTAATGAAACCCAAAACATAGTTGGTAAAACAGTCTTACTTCGGTAACTTGGTTTCAATAATAAATGTTAATTAATGTTTGAATATAATGTTTATCAATGAATAAGAATTATTATTTTTTGAACAACCAATAAACTTACTATTTTGAAACTTACAGTAGGCCAAAGCTGTAATCTCCCGATGGCAATAGTAACATATGGTTCTCCTTTATCATCCCAAACCAGGCGCTCAGTGACGCTCAATTATGTTTACGTTTACTGTATAAATAGTTTTACATTTAGTTTGATAACTGCCAACTAACATTGAACCATTTGCATGCAATTTACTCTAGTAGAATACATTTTCGTGTCAACAAAATGTATATGGAATTAAACGGATTGTTAAGTTTACACATCACTTACAGAAACTGTATCAAATTAGATTTGTTGCCTACTGCTAGATTAGTGCCCTGCTTTCTACACGGTTGTATACAAACAATATAATGTTCTTCATTATAACTAAATTAAATAACTGATATAATTGTTGATATAATTTTAACTGATATAACATAAGTTTTATTATTTTTGTTCTTGCTTTCTTCCAATAAGTTAGCTGCACTGTAAGTTTTTTTTTTAATTAATTAATTTAATTTTTATTTTTTTAAAGTTTTTTTATTATTTTTTTTATTTTGGCGGTCTCTTAACCTTGCATTTGCCCATCCACATAGACTACAAATATGTGCGTGGAACGTATCCAGCAAAGCAAGGGGTGAGCCGGTACAAAGGTGAACTGTACTGATAAAATGTTTTCGGCAGTGACCATGATCCGAACCCACGACATCATTGCCTTGGACCGACGCTAGGAAGTCCGTGACGCAACCGACTGAGCCACCGACTCACCATCATAACCTGGGTTCTACCCTGAGAGTCTACCTGAGTTCTAACCTGGGAATGGCAAATTTATCCTAGCATATAAAAATGTTGCAATAAATTGCAAGAATATTATATCCAACTTCGCTATGCTTTGTATGAACTAAAATAGAATGCAAAGAGAATATAAAATATGTTGAGGATGGGCTCAAAACCTGTAACATAGAAATGGCAAAAAGTTAGCTTAATTGGTACCGGGTTTATGTAGTTTAAAATCTTGTTTGACCTGTGACATACACATATTATTTATCAAAGAGTAACTGACTTAATGTACTATGCCATCAACTATAACTAAAATGTTTGCTAAGTATATTTTCAGTCACTTCGGCAATGCACTGTACATATGAAAACATCACGTATGAGTGTTATTACGTTTGTGAAAGATCGCATTGTAAACACATTTTTAAGACCTATAAAAGATGACAATACGATGTACTTTTGAATGACACGGCCAAACCCCTGCAGCATTGTGTTAGTTAAATGTAAGACGGACAATGCAGCTACTTCAAGATGTATCCAGTGTTCTCTTCTGTAATGCTGACTCCCCAGAACAGTGATTACCCAGAGTGGCTGGTCCCCTTGCTGCGAACCCTTCACATCTACACAGACGTGCCTGACACAATAGACATGCAGCCCTCTCTTGTGATTACTGACTGCAGTACTCAATTACCAGTCTAAAGCCTTACCTCTTGTGCACGTCTGCTTCAGCGGTACACTTTACCCTTTACACAGGTGTTACGAACACTCATTCATCATTTCGTAGCAAAAGCAATTAAACTATTCAAATGTAATACCAACCTCAGTAAATTAATTGTACAAACACCGTAATAGAATTAGTATGTAAAAATATAATGTATTAAAACTATGTGGGCCACTCCAGTTCCAGTATGAAGTGGAGTTGGGCCGGATCCAGGAGCGAGTTGCCAGCTGACGCATTGCCGGCACTCCACGTGGTCGGCTAATATTTCATCTCGCCATTTGACTAATTTTCCACATATTTCAAACTCTGGTCAAACAATCTACTTTTAGTTAAACTAACATTGGCTTTTAGTTTTACGATTACTTTCCACTAGGTAATTATAACCGTAGTTTAAATTAATTTAAACGTCTTTTAATATCTAACGATTAACAGTCTATCAATAATGCCCCCGCCACGGGAATCCTGTGAATTTTACTAATTCAATGATAATATAGTATATATCTACTTAAATCCGAAACAGTTTTTCGATTATACATCTTATTATTTCCTTATAATAATTTTGAAAATTAAAACTGTACTAAATAGTCTTATTTACATTTACGTAAATTTACTCTGGTCGAAAGAGGATTGTTAAAGGCCACTAGCTTGTTGAAATATGCAAGTCTCAGAAGCTTGAGTTTCAAAGTAACTATCCGTTCAAGAATGTGTTTGGAAATATTCCTCATGCTTGTCCAACCTACGTCAAAGAGAGGGCTACATCAAAGACTGTGATCCCTTAGGATTGGCTGTGTGCTCTCAAAGGAATCTGTTGTATACATGCTCAGATACGAGTGAAACCGAAATCTGTGAACCGCTCTACAGATTGCATCTCCACTAACAACCATATTAGGATAGAAATGTCGTTGCTCTTTGATAAATTGACGTGAATTAATTTGACCCCAGGGGGTCATCTGAGACATCGTTTATTGAAATCACTAATGTGGATAACGGATGTGTTTTTAATCTGTATAATAGACAATATTGTATAAAGAGCATGCAATAGGCAAATTGCATACACACAAACTAAGTATTTCAGTATGCAAAACATATTATTGTAGTACTTCAAATTTAAAGATAACAACCCTTTTGCGTTCCTATGATTAGAGCAATGTTACAAGCATTGTTGTAAACAATACATTTTTAATATTGCCTATATCACGATTTTGTCGTTTCGTTCACATTTACGAATCGTTCTATTTTAAATTACCTATTAGTTAAGGTGAACAATAATTTATCATGAACCATTCAACAAAACTCCTGATGTTCAATGACTTGTGTCTGATTTTACAGTAACAACTAAGCTAATACAAACATGACTTTATTATTTTTGTTAATCTCCTAGGGCTATCGTTATTTTTGCTAAAGTTTAAGGAATCCCTCAAAGGATGTAATTAAAAATCTATTCCACAATCTAATGTGTTATAAATTATTGTATATTAGAATATTTTTGCAAAAATCTGTATTGTGTATCTCAGTAAATTGTAAATGTTAGTGTTAAAAGTTAATTATTATTATTATACATTGCCGGTTTATTCTTTTATAATCATAATTAACAGTATGATCTAAAAGATTGATGAAATCATTGAATTGTGTGTCACGTTACATTAATCAAATCTATTATATAGAATGTAGAAAGACGCAGACAATGCAAGTCCTGGAAGGTTGACCGGAAACCTCTTTGTCCGATAGTCATTGATCTTAGTCCTCGGTGACAGCTGCGACCTTTCTCAACGAGACACATTACTAAAGTAGTCTTGTCCTCATCTTACAGTCTAGTGATCTATGATTTTTATGATAATAACTGCGGTCTACTTAACATTTTCCTTTATAAATTATCAATTTTCATGTAACATCGAAGTTTATTTAATTATGTTAAGGTAATAGTTATATTGAATCAGTTTACTAACAACTTGTTAACTTTCGTTGCTCATACCATCTAACCTTTCAAATTTTTATACGTTTTTACAGCTTTAAAATATATATAATCTTTTAAAGTATTCATTTTTGACCTT